TAATGAGAGAAGCTTAACTCTCACTTCTTCTCCTCACCCAAAAAAAAGTTAACAATTTCTTTTTCTTAAATGACACTCCAATGAAAAACAGGCCTCTAATTTTTTAGGGAAATTATTTCTTGGCCTTTAGTAAGTACTCAGTAAATACTTCCAGCCAACTGAGGAGAATTTAAAGATAACTGCTTAATAAAAGTAAAGCTGGATTTTACGCCAAAATGTGGCCCATGGAAAAAATGACCCACGCTGTGTGGCAGCCCCAGGCTTTGCTGCAACACAGAGACAGAGATGAGGGACTGGCCTCCATCTCCGGGAAGGCAAAACAGCACAGCTATTCATTCAAACTACCCTGGCTCATAACTCTGTCTCCTGCAGAACACAGCAAGTGCTGTAAGTACTCGGGATAGAGATTTTCGCTTGCTGTTTATAAAAGGATCCTGTAAAAGGAATCTTTGTTCTATAATTAATAGATTGCCAGATACTACAGAAACTTTAGCATACATGCTGTCTTGTTACTCACCCATCTTAAATATCCTTCTTTTGCAACTATCAATTTACTTACACAAAGCTGTTGATCACTGTATACACATGAAATTCGCTAGAAACAACACATTCTCACAAAAAATCTTAAAAGACTTGTTAAGGTATATGACATCATAAAAAGTAGATCCTTTGTTTTAATCTAATGATTCTTTCAAAAAACAACTGGCAAGTTGGAGTGGAGACATGAAACTCTTGATTATATTTATCCAATCATCTCTTCTTTTAAAAAGCAATAGTAATGAAGTAACTTCTAACATCAGAAAAGTTTACTAACAACTAACACTGGCTACATTCTTAGTGCAATACAATCTTTAACACATCTACAAACATGTATATACTTCAAATATTGGCAAATTGCTTCAAAATGCAACTCTCAGTAAGTTTTGGTAATTTATTCACAGTTCAAGGTTAGAGTTATTGGACTTACAAGACATGAGGAAGAAATGATCCAATGGCTCGGTAAACTACACAATTATCTTATATAACAGAAAACTGAAACAAAGGAAATATTCTAAAACCTCCTGCTCACAATCAGTATAATTTAAACAAATACCAAAAGTTTTATTTAAGCAAAAAAGAAAGAAGAAAGAAAGAGAGAGAAAAAAGAGAAAAAGACACCAAAAAAACAAACTGAAAGTCAACCACAGAACATTTAAAAAGCTAACAGGATCATTTGTGTATTCACTCTGAGTACCGTAAGAAAGGTAATTCAAGAATTTCCTAAAACATTCTCATTAGCCGTTATTTATGGTAGATTCCTTAACAGTGATACCAAGCTATTACAGACTTACAAGTTAATACAGCATAACTTTACAATCTTGCTAGTTAACTATGATTTTCTTTTAACCCTGGAAATTATTGGTTCAAAGCAAATGTTATCAGTCCTATCGGTTGTCATGTCACAGATCTGAAGATATGGTTAAACTCATCAAGCTACGGAAATACTGATATATTAATAATCATTAAATATTGTGAGAAAAAAACCGATGTGTTAATTTTCTAAACTTGAGATTCTAACATGAAGAACACAGAAAGCGATCTGAAGTATGTTTTCATGAAGACGACACTCTATCTGGTAGTCTGGTAGATAAAACCCACTGACTATGTGGACATAAGGCTAAAATACCTTCCTTTACCATTCCCTTCCATTTCTTTGGCCTTTGCAAATTCCGTGTGAGCTATGATTTCTTCAACAAACACTTTTCAATAACATTGTGCTTTTTAGAAAAATCACTTAAGTTTTCACATACTACTGTTAACATTAGTCTTTCCCTTTTATTGCTATAGTATATCCTAAGTTTTTAAGCAGATAAAACACTGACTCCAAAGGACTTCTTAAAATATATTTGTTAAAGCAAACATTTCAGCTGGTCTTCCTCCTTTGAAGACAATGTAAGTAAGTGCCAAATAAACATTACCAAGAAGCTAAAAAAGACGGGGAGTGGGTGCAAGGAGGCTCCTTTTCTTCCTGTCCTCATGATTAGCTTAGGCCAAAAGATCTGTAGTCAGAAGGCTAAGATGACATCATCTTAGAAACAACTTGCCACAAAACTAAGAGAGAAAATCTGTGTTAGCTCTCTTAACCCTCAGCCCCACCTGCAGGCAGCCCTGCGTCCGCCCCCTGGAGTAGTACCGATGCTTGCTGCTTTCTCCCTTGTGCATTTCGCCTTTGCTGCTCCCTGGCACACCACAGACATGTGGTGGTCCATGCAGCCTGTGGCAACAGAGCACTCTACAAAATGCACCTTCCCTCTTTTGAACATTATACTTCCCTAAACTTGGACCATTATTTAACAACCCAGCTCACCTCCACTTTTCCACTCCCTTCACCTTGTGCCCGCAAGGATCTTGGTCTTCACCAGTAATAAGTCTGCCTGGGGACAAGCAGACTCTGCTTTCAACATGATGTCCTTTCCAGGTCCTGGCACAGTGACTTGCCCATAGTAGGAGGCTGACACAATTAGAGCACACTAAAAACAGTGAGCATTAATTTCCTCTTCCCACTCATTCCTATGGCACAGGGAATTTAAAAAAGACAGAAAAGCCAACTGACTGCAAAGGAACCATCATCTCCTGAGCCATGTGTGAGACGCTACCCATGATCCCAGCCTAAAAACGGCTCAGGGCTGAGGTAAGGAACTCTAAGTTACATGTGAATGAATTTAAACTCTAAATGTTCTACAAGAAAGAACTTTTTATATAAGACTCCTTTTGTAGAATACCTTTCTTGAAAAACCAGATTCTCTTACCTATTAATATTACATTGGTTCTAACTAGGCATGCACACTTATTAGTGATTTGCCTCATTAGAGTATCCTTTTTTGTGTTTGTAATTAATACACAAAAGCATTTAAAAATCACTACGTGAAATAAAGTAAGAAGCAAGAAGGGACAAAAAAGAGAAACCATGTTTATTTGGAAAATATCACTTCTTTTTTCTTTAATATCAGCTTTTGATATCCAGTTCAGAACTTATCCTAGCTTGAAGTGTGTGTGTGTGTGTGTGTGTGTGTGTGTGTGTGTGTGTGTATGTATGTGAGAGAGAGAGAGAGAGAGAGAGAGAAAGAGAGAGATAGACAGACATAGAGGAAGAAAAAAAGAGAAATTGAAAACCAATGATTGATTTCACATATTTGTTCACTTAGAATGCCGACTTAAACTTCAGACCATTAAGAAATGTTACAAATCCACACAAATCAGACATAAAATGCTAATTTAACATAAGAAATGACATTATACACATACTAAAACTAGCAGGCCTAAACAAAATCATCTCAGAAACAATTAAAATACATAAATATAGCTATAGTGACAACATACATATGATGTAAATAGTAACCTTATTTTATTTTTAAAAACAACCAGGTTTCTAGTCTCCATCGAGGACAGTTCTTCCAAAGTACCTCAAAATATGCTAAGTATTTTTCTAACCCTAATACACAAGCAGAATCCTGTGCTCCCCTTGTAGCAATAGCTATTAGAAAATCTTAACCTCACCAAGAAATTCAAACACAGAAAAAAGAAAAAGCCTGAATTTACTTAAATAACTATGCTAAATATCTTACCTTCACAATTTAAGGCAAAAACTTTAAAAAGAGAAGGACTTCACCAAAACACAAACACACTGCTCTATAACCCCCAAGATTTGGCCAAAAAGCCCCGTAAAGAAATGATTACTCACAACACGGTGGGTGTCAAACTAATATGCTACTCTATTTTAATCTAAATTGTTAAATTCTGTTTCTGACATAAACCAGCTGAAGGCACCTTGATACCACTTTACTTATTTGTATCTTCTTCATTCCTAAATAGATTTGAGAGGTGGAACACAGACAGTAGAGAAGTATACCTAGGAAATAATACTATATTTGATGCAATCCTTCACTAGCATCAGTGTAAAACATACAGCTTTCTCTAAACCTAGCTCGGCACACACATTTACAATCAAATGATTAGTCAAAAGACTTGCAAATCTTCCAAACTACAAAGAACTTCCAACTGGCAGGCTGGTACGAGACTTGCAAAATCTTCCAAACTACAAAGAACTTCCAACTGGCAGGCTGGTACGAGTTTTATGTAACAAGGCAGTAAAAAGTTAAAATTCACTGCAAGCAATTTTTCCTCGGAACAAAAAGTAGAGAACTCTGCATATATCAGTACTGATTTAATCACAGACGCATGACTGCAACTTTGTGTGGTGATTTCCAAGAACAAGTCATTAAAAAAAAACAAAAACACAAGGAACAAAAAACTACAGATACAAGGAAATAAAAACCAGTTTTAGAAGATGGAAAAACTAGGAATAGGACACCCCACCTGGAGGTCCCCCAACTTCACACAGAAAATCATGTTGTCAACTGTCCTAAGCAGCTCAAAATTAAAGTTTCTGCTATAAAATTGTGCAAATACTTGCTGTTAAGAGTGGAGAAAACCAATGTACTACCATACTCTAGCTTCCTACCTTAACTCTGACTCGACCTCCACATAACAAGCAACAGGTCAGAAACACTCAGGTTAACCCAACTTACATAGAAACCCCACTAAGAAAAGCTTTCAGTTTTTAAGTTCTACAAGTGTGATTTAAAAACAAAACACAAATTTCAAAACAAATCACAGCATCTTCTCTTAATTCGTAAACTTAACAAAACCTTAATCAAATGTCTAAGCATTTGCATACACTGCCTCTGTCTTTAGATATTCCAATTAAATGTACTATACTTTCTTTGGGCTGAATGAAGAGAAGCACAGTAAAACAAAGGCCAATTATTCTAAAAACATACAATCCTCCCAGATTGAATTGCAGGGCCCAGAAATTCAACACCCGGCATCCTTGAAAGAAAATGAGAGCTGAATCTCTTTGTGATAACAATTCCAATATAAATTCCATTATTTAAACTTCCCCACAAATTACTGGAAAAATATGAGGTAATTTCACAAAAATCACAAATTGAGTGGAATAATTATAACCAATATATAAATAAGGATTTACTAAAAAAGGCTTCAGAGGGTGGTATTTTAAATCAAGGTGTTAAATACAAAAGGTGTCTTGTGTTGCTCAACCGCCCAGAGTTGCAGATGCTCCTTATTCTACAGTTACAGATTTGGCAAGATTCCGGGGGAAATCAACCTGCAAAGAAACAATATGTGAAAGACTGTACAGACGGGGTGGGGGGGGCGGGTAGGGAGGGAGAAACAGCGACTCTAAGCAAATTACTTTTGCATATAGAACCAGAAAACAACATGTTCCTCAACCATCTTAATTACAGACAATAAAAAACTACAATTAGAAAACAAAATCAAATAATGCATCTTAAAAATCCTGGAAAGAGGAAGAAGCATCCTGAAGGAGCCGGCTCAGCAGAGAAAGCGCTCTGTGGTCCTCTGCAAAAGGCGCAGCTCACTCGGAGGGTAATGGGCCTCAGGCAGCTAATGTGGGATTTTCGGGCAGCTTCCACACATCTTTCTGGCAGTGGCCCACCCTGGTGCTACAGCAGCCCAGAAACCCCCAACAGTAGTGGTTCCTTGCAATTCCTACCCTGGCGGATGGCACAGTGGCCTCCCACCCCTGCCTTTCCCTAGGTCTCCTAATGGCTGTGTAAACCTAAGCCTAATTCTCCCTGTTAAATCCTTTCTTACTAGAAATGCCAGTCAGTAGTGATTGAGAGGAGTTGTGTGTGAGAGCAAGATGCTGGGCTGTCATGACCGGGGGACTGGGGATACTAAACCCTGCAATGTGTGGGGGAGTCCCAAAGAACTGCCAGCCACCCCGAAGGAAAGAGAGAACACCTGGGGATTCCTCAAGGAGGTAATCTCCAATCACAGAGGTAGGCTCCAAGGTTCCTTCAGGTTCTATGGGTAAAAAAAGGTCATGACGTAATCTCCAAACTGGGCCACGCAAATGTGACAGGTCACAGATAAATACCTGAGGGATTTCTCCAAAGCTGTAGCTAAAAATTTAGAAGGAAAACTACGAACGAACCAGGTAGAAAGCGAGCTCAAAAGAGTTCCCCGGGACCCGTCACTCACGTCATAGCCTCTCAGCACAGCAAGGTGGAAAGCCAGCAGCTGCAAGGGGATCACACTGAGGATGCCCTGCAAGCAGTCCACTGAGTGGGGCACCTTGATTGTTCTGTTTGTGTTCTTAATGGTCTCGGTATCTTCCTTATCACAAATCACCACTGGGCGTCCCTGGCAAAGAAACACACACACACACACACACACACACACACAATCACTGGTAAGCAAAGGCAGAACTGCTGCACATGAACATGCAGATTTTGCACTGCCCACATGCACGTGGCCTCACTGACTCACAATCCTACGTGGTAACTCAGATTGATCTGACTTGCAGCAAAGGAAACGGAAACTGTGGGATTCGGTAATTTATTCAAACTCACACAACTGGGAAATACAGAGCTCAGTTAACAGCCAGCAATATCTTTGGGGCTTTATGTAAAAGCTGAGTGAGCTGAAGGAAACTCAGTTAAACACAACACCTGTAATAGTAACATAAAACCCAGTTTCTCCTGAAGTATACTTTCAAGAATATTAACTTGAAAGGGAGAAGCCCACAATGAGAGAGGACAGGATCGGGAGACTAGGACCTCAGTTTTGGTCTTGATTCTGCTTATTATGAGATCAGGAGCTGGGTGCTGTCAAAACTCTTTGAGTATCTCAGTTTCTTCACATGTAAACCTCCACATGTTCTGTAAGCCTCCTACTGGGCACTGGTTTATCACTTTAAAGTCATAAAATTCAAATAAGCTTTAGTGACCCAACTCTTAGACAACCCTGGTGCCCTCCCAGGAGCCCCTAACTTACCTGCCTGGCAACCACCTGCTGAAGAGCGTTCTGACACTTGGCGTAAGTGTGATCTCTCATGATGATCATGATAACCGGCATCAACTTGTCCACCAATGCCAGAGGACCGTGTTTCAATTCACCAGCAAGGATGCCTTCAGAGTGCATGTAAGTGATTTCTTTGATTTTCTAACAGGAAAGAACTAGATTAGTCTACAGTCTGTTTTTCAAAAACCCATTCTTATGCAAATATTACATAAAACATCTGCTATCTAAAGTCACTATTTAGCCAAAAGTATAAAAGGACCACTGACCTGTAAATATAGGTGAATAGATCATTATTTCTAAACTATCAAGTAACTGGAAGTCTGTTTATTTATTAAGTAACTAGAAGTTCTAAACCCGCAAAAACTTGAGGATTTCAAATGATCATGAAATATATTCCTATTACTCTGTAACTGTTTTTACTTGCCTCATGTTTACTTCCATGAAATCTCACACCTAGAGAACTTAATCTCTTATTTACTCACATGTAGGCAACAAATTAACCCAAGTAGTTAACTAACTTGCTAAATCCAAATCAAGGTGGTAAAATGTATTTTTCTTGATATTCACTTTTTTTAAGTCTTTTTTTTCCTTAAGATTTTATTTATTTATTTGACAGAGAGAGAGAGAGATCACAAGTAGGCAGGGAGGCAGGCAGAGAGAGAGGGGGAAGCAGGCTCCCCATTAAGCAGAGTCCGATATGGGGCTCGATCCCATCACTCTGAGACCATGACCTGAACCGAAGGCAGAGGATTAACCCACTGAGCCACCCAGGCGCCCCGATATTCACTTTTGAATTAATTATTATGTTACCCTTTCTCAAGATAACAAATCCGAGTGCATAAATACAGAGACATTTTCAAAAGTCCTATCTATTTCATTTGACCTAAAAGTATATATGACTGTATGCTAGGTCCATAAGTCCTTAGACCACAACTGTAAGTGAGAAGACTTACCAGTGCCCCTTCAAGACAAGTAGCATAATGATAGCCACGTCCCATTATCAAGACTGACTTCTGGTGATAAAGTTCTGTTGCCAGTTTCTGAATTTCATCATCCATGCTCAGTACCTCCTTAATCAAATCTGTTAAGAAGGAATATTAACAAAGTCTATGAAAAAAGGGTAATAAACTGAATGCTATAATAACAATAATATATTGGAAGCAATCAACAAAAGACCAGTGTTTCTTTTTCTTTTTTTTCTTTTTTTTTTTTTTTAAGATTTTTTTCTTTTTATTTATTTGACAGACAGAGATCATGGATAGGCAGAGAGGCAGGCAGAGAGGGGGCTGGTGGGAAGCAGGCTCCCTACTCAGCAGAGAGCCCCATACAAGGCTCAATCCCAGAACCCTGGGATGGTGACAGGAGCTGAAGGCAGAGGCTCTAACCCACTAAGCCACCCAGACTCCCCGAAGACCAGTGTTTCTATTCAGTGAAAGATTTTTAAAAACACAGGTGCCAAAGAAGAAGGATCTTTTTGACTACATAGCTACAAGCCACAGACAGCTTCAAGGACGAGAAAAGGCTTCACCCATTAGCCACTCCCGCAGATAACAAACATCCACTGTGAGATCTTCATACCAGGCAGTCGCTTCAGTCCAAGCATGATCTCTTTGCGTCTCTCTTGCATGGAGATCCTGTCATCGCACATCATGAGGGCAAACATGACAAGGGATACAAATTGGCTGGTGTAAGCCTGAAACACCATAGAAAAGCAGAATTAGTTGCAGTTGCATTTTAAGAAGTTGGATTTTTTAATTAAAAAAAAGATTAAAATAAAGAATTCCCTCCATTGGCTTTATAAATATGTATTGTCTATTAAAAAAAAAAAAGAAAAAAGAAAAGAAAACAAACCAAAAAAAAACACTGTTAGGGAGCCTGGGTGGCTCAGTTGGTTAAGTGACTGCCTTGGGCTCAGGTCATCATCCTGGAGTCCCAGAAGTGAGTCCAGAATCAGGCTCCCAGCTCAGCAGGAAGTCTACTTCTCCATCTGACCCTCTCCCCTCTCACTCTCTCTCAAATAAATAAATAAAATATTTAACAAAAAACAAAACAGGTTAACAGCAAACTGAATCAGTACTTGGGAAATCTATCACTAGCCTTTTTTGAACTTGAACAATGACTTAACCTTTATTTTCAAATACAAAACAAAAGTTCCTTATAACACACCAGATGCTTACCAAATCCCTAATACCCTCAGAAAGGAATAGAAACATGCAAAGTAAGGTGAGCAGAGTGTAAATCTGCACGTGCATAACCAGATTAAGTTCTTTTTATGTAAATCAAAAGCAAAGGCCTGAAGGACTTTCCCTGAGGTACTTGTACTGGTTTTGTTGTTGTTTTTTTTAATTGTTCTTTGATTTTTTTTTTTTCACCTTTGCCCATTGCTTATTCTTCACTCCCACCTTTTTTTCTCCAGTTTGACTTAAAAAAATTTTTTTTAAGCTCAATTTTAGAAAAGTGGGTAGAAATAAGAAAAACCATTTTTTAAAGATTTCATTTATTTATTTGACAGACAGAAATCACAAGTAAGCAGAGAGGCAGGCGGGGGTGGGGGAGGCAGGCTCCCCGCCGAGCAGAGAGCCTGATGCGGGGCTCCATCCCAGGACCCTGGGACCATGACCGGAGCCGAAGGCAGAGGCTTTAACCCACTGAGCCACCCAGGTGCCCCAGAAAAATCATTTTTAAAAAGGTTTTATTTATTTATTTGACAGAGACAAACAGCCAGAGAGAGAACACAAACAAGGGGAGTGGGAGAGGGAGAAGCAGGCGTCCCACCGAGTAGGGAGCCCGATGCAGGGCTCGATCCCAGAACCCTGAGATCATGACCTAAGCCACCCAGGTGTCCCTAATCATCATTCTTAAATGTAAAATTACATTTTAATAACATGATATTAATAACATTTGTGAATACTGCCTACTAATCTTTACTGCCCTTCTTCTTTCTTTAAATGGTTAAGAAAATTAATTGGTAGATATACTCTTGTAACTTGCCGTATTCTTAATTTAATCACAAGCACTTTCCCAAAGAAGAATGCCTTCTTTCTTGCTTTACTAAACCAGAGCAGTTTTTCCTCTCTTTAGGTGTCAGATGGCCCATATGTTACAGGTACACTTACAAGATTCTCATGAGAATTAAATGAGACCAATGTAAAACATTCAGTGTAATGCCTAACACGCAGGCTCAAAACAAACTTTTACTGATGAAAGCTTAAACTAAGAGACATCTATTTTCCTAGGCTAGAGAACTGTGAATGTTTTAAAATATGCAGTCAACAACCAAGACTTCTCATTCCCATTAGCTGTATGAGATTGTGAGATGAGTGTTCTGCCACAATTTCTGCAATACTTAAAATTATCTTTTTAATAAGTTTTTACCATTTCATTGTTAGACAATGGTCTCTCGCTACCACTTTATCATACATATCTTAAATCTGAAAAGACTGTTTTCATGTTCATTAGCCAATGATGTTTTCTCTTTTAAGAATTAACTATATGTTCTTTACTTATTTCTGGACCTGGGAGTTTTGGGGGGGTTTTGTTTATTTTTTGTTGGTGCTAAGAATGTCTTCACTGTTATGTTTCAAATACTTTTTCCCAGTTTGGATTAACCCTTTTATAATGGTCTTTATTAACTTAGCAAGTTTTATTTTTTTAACTTTGAGTAGTACTTTTTTTTAAAGATTTTATTTGTTTATTTGACAGAGATCACAAGTAGGCAGAGAGGCAGGCAGAGAGAGAGAGAGGAGAAAGCAGGCTCCCTGCGGAGCAGAGAGCCCAATGCGGGGCTTGATCCCAGGACCCTGGGATCATAACCTGAGCCGAAGGCAGAGGCTTTAACCCACTGAGCCACCCAGGCGCCCCTGAGTAGTACTTTTAAGCCTAATCCTTCCATCCTAACATCAGTTAAGTATGATTAAATTTTCTTCATTCTATTGTTTTCATTGTCCCTTTTTGACTTTTAGTCCATCTGAAATTGATTCTAGTGCAAAGTGTTAACTTGTGTTTCTACTCTAATAAATAGCCAATTTTTCCTCCATTTCACCCACTTTGTCTACCGGCTTGTGACATTTCCTGCAGTCTCTGGTCTCTGCAGCCACCCAGGCACACCCCCCCCTTTTTTAAGATTTATTTATTTATGTGTGTGTGAGAAAGAGCACAAGGGAGGGTAGGGGCAGAGAGAGAGGAGAAAATCTCAAGCAGACTTCCTGCTGAGTGGAGCCCAAAGAGGGGCTCCATTTCAGGACCCTGAGATCATGACCTGAGCTGAGATCAAGAGTCAGATGTTTAGGGGCATCTGGGTGGCTCAGTCGTTAAGCATCTGCCTTCGGCTCAGGTCATGATCCCAGGGTCCTGGGATCGAGCCCCGCGTTGGGCTCCCTCTCCCACTCCACCTGCTTATATTCCCTCTCTCACTGTGTCTCTCTCTATGAAATAAATAAATAAAATCTAAAAAAAAAAAAAAAAAGAGTCAGTGCTTAACTGACAGAGCCACCAAGGCACCTCTGTACTAAGACTTTTTAATAGTAGTTCTGGTATCTTTTTAATTCATTGGTCATTTAAAGAAACTAAATTTTATGTTTTAGGCATTTGAGTTTCTTATTTATATTTTTATTCTTAAATCACTAGGACTGTTGTGGTGTAGCCAGCTAGAGTATTATGTATAATTTTAACATTAAGAAATTTATTCTGAGTTTTCTTGTAGATTATAGGCTGAATTTCTATGACTCTTCTCAGGATAACGGATCACTTCATCAATGACTATCTTCCTGTCATAATGTGGATAATGAGCCTCCTGTATAATAAAATCACAATCTGCTAAAGCTCCTGATGGTTAAATGAGACTCCCTACTTCTTGCTGAGCCTCCCAGCGGCCAGCTGCTCATACATTCCTCCACAGCCACCTGTCCCTGTGCTACGATGGGGTCCACCAGCAGGCTTCCCCACAGCACTGGCATGGATTTGCAGTCCCTTGCCTTCAGGCTAATGGGCACATCTGTATTCTAAATTCCAGGCCCTTCTGGTCTACCTTTTCCTACTAACGCTTACTTTTCAATAAACTAATTAATCACAAAACATATGATCAGGATGGGGGAGAGACCCACTATCTGGGACCCCTGGCATACCTAAACTGTTTCCAGCTCAAACCAATCAGATGAGTTCCAGTTCCTCCAGCCCATGACTAAAACTGTTATTCTACAGAGTAATGTTTCCTTATTTGGACTTAAGACATCTCAACCCTGGTTCTTAGGTATAAATATGAACAGAATAGCTTTAACGCACACATTTTTCCATTGCATTCCCATTAAAGCTTAATTTCCAATTTCATATTTTTCATTTCACCAACAGATACCAGAAAACCACTTATGAGAAAAGTAAGTTACACCTCACGTTTAGAATTTACTGAGGTTTGAACGAATTTACCAGGAAAAAGTTGACTCTGAACTTTTAAACTTGGTTTTACTTTATATTTGGCCAAAAGCTGTATCAGTTTATTTTTAAAAATCAACAAAAGTCAGTACTGTGGTTAAATTTTAAACACCTGCACTAACATAAAAAACTGTTAAATCTGCACATTTACGCTCATCAATTCCTACAGAAATATCAAATTGTCTACAGTCTGATATTATGAGAAACTCGGTAATCTCTCTCTCTTTAACCCTGACAGTTTTTCAGGCAAAGCTGGAGATTTATAATCAAGATTATAGAATTCTTGGGCTAGGTCCATCACAGGGCCAGGGATGAGGACCAATGATGAACTTCTTTTATCACCTACTAACATAAAAACTTCTATTTACCATTCGGAAATGCTCTACGACTAAACACTGCAAAACTTTTCTAACTCCAAGCCCAGAATGTCTAAGGCAGTTGAAGAAAACAAAATTACTTTAAAGTCCAAGAAAAATTAAAGTAAGACTACATACTTACTAAAATTTTTAAGGGAATCATCTTTTTAAAGACGTTAATTAAAATATATACTATGAAAAGATGCTTTTTTTCTTATACAAGGTATAACCATTGGGGGAAACTGAGTGAGAAGTACATGGACTTCTCTACTATCTTTGCAACTTCCTATAAACCTTAGAGATACTTCAAAATAAAAAGATTAAAAAAAAAAAAAAAGACCTGCAAAAAAGAGAACTACTGCTAGAAATAACACCATAAAAAAGTCTCAAAAACATCAACGGTGAAACCCTTTTTCACTATGTTGTTAAAGAGAAGGAGCCAGACACAAAAGACATGTATTATACAATCCAATTTATAAGAAATTTCTGGAAGATGACATAGTACAGCAAAAGAAAGCAACTGTAGCTGGCTGAGGCTGAGAGGCAGGGGTGGGGGGCTGACTGTAAAAGAGCACAAAGGAACATTTTTTAAGTGAATTAGTCTTCTAAAACAGGACTGTGATGACAGTTACACAGCCAAATTTACTAAAACTATATATCAAAAATTGGTGAATGTTATGGTGGTGAAACGTATACCTCAATAGAGCTGAAACAAATGTTAATGATAGAATCTAGGTGATGGGCATATGGGTGTTAATATAAAATTCCTTTAACTTCACTGTGTGTTTGAAAATGATGATAATAAAATGTTAAGAAAGGGGACCTGGGTGGCTCAGTTGGTTAAGTGTCTGCCTTCGGCTCAGGGTCCTGGGATCAAGCCCTCGTTCACACTCCCTACTCTGTGGGGAGCCTGCTTCTCCCTCTCCCTCCCCCGCCCCCACTTGTGCTCTAATAAGTCAAATATTAAAAATAAATAAAAATAAAATGTTGAGAAAATTGAAGTTTTTGTGAACAAGAGAATTAGAATTAAAAAAACTGAACTCCCCCAGGCAGCTCACAGTTCAAGAAAGATTTTTTTGAGAAGTTAAGTCAAGAGCACCCATTCAGTGCTATGACCCCGTATCTCACATACACCATGGTGAAGCCCTTGTTTCACCATGTGTTGTGAATAAAGGAGCCTTGGAATTCCAATCCCTGATCAAAGCTGTCTGTCTGGATACTGTTCCAAAAATCCATAAGTTGCTCCTGAGGGCAGCTGGGTATTTATTCAGGCACAGAATGGAAACCCAAGCACAAATATCTTCCATGTTTTAATTACCACATGGAGAAAATTCAGGTTTCAGCTTTCTGTAAATTATAGTGTTAGCAACATCAAAGTAACCATGAACCAAAAACCCTCACTCAGGGTTTTTACATAAGAATCACAAATTTTCAAAAAAAAAAAAAAAAAATCTGAGGTTCTTTAAGAAGAAAAAATTCAAATGTGGTTCTGTACATGTTAACATCATCTTCCACACTCCCTTAATTAGAATCAAATCCACCAATACCTAAGCATCTTATTAGACAATCAGTAGGCAATATTATGCTTAAGCAGAAAAACAGAAATGTTGAAATCATAAAGAGTAATACAATTGTGGAGAGAGAACATCTTTTGTATTTTAAGATTCCTATTTTTATTACTAATACTAAATTTATGTATATTCCAATTTCAAAGAACAAAGTAGTCTCAATAGGCCTTTACAAAAAAGGTGTTTTAAGTCCTAAGTCTCCACAGATATAGTATCCAAATAGAAACAGATATTGTCATATAATACTCATTTTAATTGTTTTAAATTGTCAAATTTTTTAAAAGATTTTATTTATTTATTTGACAATGATCACAAGTGGGCAGAGAGGCAGGCACAGAGGAGGGGGAAGCAGGGTCCCTGCTGAGCAGAGAGCCAATGCGGGGCTTGATCCCAGGACCGTGAGATCAAAACCTGCGCCGAAGGCAGAGGCTCAACCCATTGAGCCACCCAAACGCCCCCAAACTGGCAAATTTTATACCAAAAAGTGTATACCTCCTTACAAACTTCCACAGTAATATGTGTATTTTGGCTATTTATTAGAAGCTATGAGTATGCAAATTGTCAAAAATTAATCGAATTAAGCTGGATGTTCCTAATCTGTTATTTTTCTAATTCCCTACTACTAAAAGAAGAGGACATCAGACTTAACATGTACCCTGCTGCACTGACAGGACGAACTTAAGCAATGAATGGAAACAGCCAGCATGACACTTATATACGCTTGTCCCTTTTAGCCTCGGGAGTATTTTATCTATTATGGACTGTTATGATTAGTAAACTGTATGAGCTCTGTAAGTGCTAACAAATGAACTATAAGGTATGGATTAGTGTGTTCCACCCCCACTATGATGACAAAACCAAGAGAACTAAGTCAGGAACTTACCTTTGTGCTGGCCACACCAATCTCGGGCCCAGCATTAATGTGAACGCCACAGTCTGTCTCCCTTGATATGGAACTGCCCACGGTGTTCGTGATCCCCACAGTTAAAGCTCCTCTCTCCTTACAATACCGAAGACCCATCAGGGTGTCTGCTGTCTCACCTATGTAAGAAGGAAGACAAAAGTAACACACAGAGCAGTCAGCAGACACTGCTTCTTAGATGCAAAAACAAAAAAATGACTACACTTTCAACAGTATCATTTAAATAAAATTTTTTAAAACATGCACCAGGGGTGCCTGGGTGGCTCCATCAGTTGAGCGTCTGACTCTTGATTTCAGCTCAGGTTATGATCTCACGGTCCTGAGATCGAGCCCCACATCAGCTCCACTCCATGCTCAGCAGGGAGTCTGCCTGAGATTCTCTCTCCCCACCCCATCCCACTCCACCCCACCCCAGCTTGCACACACACTCACTCGCTAAAACAATCTTTAAATATATATATATTAAAAGAAACATGCACTTTAAAATAATGAATTTGTGGGGTGCCTGGGTGGCTCAGTCGTTAAGCATCTGCCTTCAGCTCAGGTCATGATCCCAGGGTCCTGGGATCAAGCCCCACATCGGCCTCCCTGCTTGGAGGGAAGCCAGCTTCTCCCTCTCCCACTTCCCCTGCTTATATTCTCTTTCTCACTGTGTCTCTCTGTCAAATAAATAAAAGTAAATAAAATCTTTAGATAAATAATTAAAATAATAAATTTGTAAAACTTTAAATAGTAAGTTCCTACTTATTATGATCGCCTTTTCTGATCTTTGAAAATTCAGCTCCTTGAGTGTAAAATGTGTTAATTTTACTAACTCATAGAGAATTACATGATATCAATATATTTCTGTATTTGTCAGGTCATCTGCAATACCTGTTTATCTTTTAATATCAGCTTTTGCCAAGATATGCTATAATTATTAGAATGAATGACTTTCCTTTCCTTCAAGTCTTTAAAATTAGCATACCTGACTGACTAATGAAAAAGCAAACATCATCTCGAAAAACCGGAGTGTTTCTATCCAGGAAATCACTGGCAAGCTCCACCATGACAGGCAACTCAGTCAGCTCTTCAAGAACTTGACGTGTCTGCAGAGAAAAGATGATTCGGTTGTCTAGCCTTACTTCAAATACTCTTTCTCACTGAATTTCCTTGGAGTCAATGTACACTTTTCACTTTTTTGACTATAAAAATGATAGACATGCATTATTAGAAAATACAAACAATACTGATTAAAGCATAAAAAATAATCAAAATCCCCCCAGCCAGGAAACAAGTGCTGTTAACATCTTAGTACAAGACTCTTTAGTTATCAGTGCATGTATTCGTAAAAGCAAATACACCCACACAAATACAATGTTTTGAGAAGTAGAAAAAGCACTGTTGAGTTAGCTTGTCTATCATCTCTAACTTCCCAATTCCTAACCTTGAAATGGCAATTCATGTAACACCAAGTCACTGAGAGATTTCAGCGAGAACCAAAGACACATAAACCCCCTGTGAAAAATTAAGCACTTCAAAATACCATGTATTCATAAAGTCGTAACGTTCCCATAAAAAGGTCAATACACTTTGGAACTCCTGTTTAAGAAAGCTCAAGCTCACAATTTCCAAACTGTAGTATGGAGAGGGAAGTAGGGGGTAGTATGGTTGTAAGCCAACAGCATCTTAGCATTTCTTTTACTAATTTCCATTCTAATCCAATTTCTTTTACTCTAAACATCGGAAAGCTTCCAAGGCAATAGAAAAATGTAAACTTTGAGGCAGCAAAAATTTGAGGCCCTACAGGTAGGTGCACACATTGAGTTGTGGTGACTACCTGCTGCTCTAGGCAAAGGGCCCCACCCTCTTGCCCTACCACCGCATTCCTCCTTCACAGGAGTGAAGAACTGTATAGTTTTCTTTACTTCGTATTCCTTTAACTTTTCTGTCCACAAAAGTAAACTAAATGGTTTCATTCTGTAATCCTGGTTTGGCACTTTGGAACAATGTTTTAACACCACCTACAGAAAGTCTTCAAAGATAAAATCTTATTTTTTAACAAATCTTTTCCAGTGCTGTATTTTACTTATTAATTATATGTAACTAAGTTACTGACCCTAAAATGCTGGACATTTTCCCTCAAACAAACAAAAGTCAAACTTTACTCCCTCATTTACAATATAAATGTTCCACTGGAATTATATTCTTCAAAATAAAAAGAGAAAGATACAAATCTAGCAACTTAACAGATATTTTAAAACATCCCTTGCTAAAGTAATCTCAAGGTTTATCTGTGCTAATAAATGTCTTTTTCTTTCAGTGGAAGTAACTCTTTATAAATACACAGCATGACATTTTTGCACTGGAAGAGACTAATATACTGTCATAAATTCTATTCTATGTCACTGTAAAAACCCAGACACAAGTAACACTTTGAAAAGCAAACTTACTTAGAATGAGTTCAGTTGATTGTTATTGTTCAGGATACATATTATACACTAAAAAAGCATTTATGCATATGTGTCATTCACTTTGGACTCCACCAAAAAAAAACATAAAAAAACAAAAACTAGATAGAATTAACAACACTATTTTGTATGATAAACCCCAAAGGGACTTCTCACGTTTGTTAACTAAAGTAGTCTCAGCATCTACCAAAACACAAAACAAAACAAACCTTAACATTTTCTCAAATTTCCTAATTAGAGAATTCTAACACAGCATCTATTTTCTGCCCTAAAATTCAGGTTTAGCATTAGATGAAACATTTAATCAAATTTTTTATTTCTGAATAGAGGGGTCTCTCAGTAACAACAGATCTAAAGCCACCAGGCAACTGGCCAATCCTCTCATTCACACTCAGGTCTTCAAGTCATTCTCTTTTCCCCCCACGTTTGAAACAACCACTTTCTAGAACTCTTCCCTTCAATACTGACTTCTAGACTTTCCTTTTTAGACCAGGTGATCTGAGGAGTAGACTGAGAGAAGACTGAGATGCAAGGGCTGGACAACTACCCAATTTCCATCACTACTTATATGACTGGCTCCCACAGGTACAGATCATAGATATTTTTGCCCCCAAATCAGTATGTCATAAACTCTCAAAGTAGAAACTGAATGTGTAAGGGTCTTCTGTACTTACAGAAGTTGACACCAACAGCATTGTAAATGGCGTAGTTATAAGAAAACTACATCTGGATCTCATTTATTGGACTAAAACTATTACACTCCTATGCTTTGGCACTGACAACCAGTGCAGCAATTTGATACAGAATTTCAGCTTTCCAAAAATTAATCTGAAATAGATTAAACACTTAAATGAAAGGCCTGAAACCAAGGACTTCCTAGAAAAAAACACAGGAACAAAGTTCCTTGACATGGGTCTTGGTGATGATTTCTTGGCTATGACACCTAAAGCACAAGCAACAAAATAAAAAATAAAAAAGTGGGATTACATCAAATCACAGCAAAGAAAACTATCAACAAAGTGAAAAGTCACACTACAGAACGGGAAAAAAATATTTGCAAACCAAATATCTAGTAAGGGACTAATATCCGAAACATATAGAGATCTCAAGTGAAAAAAAGAAAATAACCCAATTTAAAAATGGGCAAATGGGGGCACCTAGGTGGCTCAGTGGATGAATGCCTCTGCTTTCGGCTCAGGTCATGATCCCAGGGTCCTGGGATTGAGTCCCGCATTGGGCTCTCTGCTTAGCAGGGAGCCTGCTTCCCTTCCTCTCTCTCTGCCTGCCTCTCTGACTACTTGTGATCTCCGTCTGTCAAATAAATAAATAAAATCTTTAAAAAAAAAAAAATGGGCAAATGACCTGCATATACATTTCCCCCAAAAAAATATACAGGGGTGCCTGAGTAGCCTCAGAGGGTAAGTCTCTGCCTTCAGCTCAGGTCATGGTCTCAGGGTCCTGGGATCGAGTTCCGCATCAGGCTCTCTGCTCAGCAGGGAGACTGCTTCCTATTCTCTCTCTGCCTGCCTCTCTGCCTACTGGTGATCTCTGTGTTAAATAAATAAAAGTCTTAAAAAAAAAAAAAAAGAAAGAATACACAAATGGCCAACAGGTACATGAAAAGATGCTCAACATTACTAGTCATTAGGGAAATGCAAATTAAAACCACGATGTGGTATCTCCTTATGTCTGTTAGCACAACCATCATTAAAAAGACAAGAGAAAACAAATGCTGGTGTAGATGTGGAGAAAAGGGAACCTTTGTGCACTGTTGGTGGGAATGTCAATTGGTGCAGCCGTCATGAAAAATATTACGGTAGATCCTCAAAAAATTAAAAATAGAACTACCATATGATCTGGCAATTCCATTTCTGGGAATATATTCAAAGCTAAAGAGAACACTAACTTGAAAAGATATCTGCATCCTCATGTCCACAGCAACATTATTCACAAAAGCCAAGACACAGAAACAACCTACGTGTCCATCAATTGCTGAATGGATAAAGTCGTGGTGCATACACACATACAGACACACACAGAATAATATTATTCAGCCATGAAAAATGAGAAAATGCCACCATCTGTGACAACACGGATGGATCTTGAGGGCATTATACTAAGTGAAATAAGTATCACTGACAAAAACAAATACTGTATGATTCACTTATACATGGAATCTAAAAAACAATACAAAACAAACTCATAGAAAAAGGGATTAGACTTTGGTTACCAGAGGTAAGGGTGGGGGGAGAGCGGACTGGAGGAAGGTAGTAAAAGGTACAAACTTCCAGTTATAAGATAAACAAGCACTAGGGATATAATGTACGACATGATGACTACAGCGAACACTGCGGTAGGATATACAGGAAAGTTGTTAAGACAATAAATCCTAAGAATTCTCATCACACAGGAAAATTTCTTTCCTTTATTCCTTTGTTTTTATTGTACCTCTATGAGAAAATCGATGTTAACTGAACCTACTGTGGCCATGATTTCACAATATATCTAACTTGAACCATCATGCCATAGGTCTTAAACTTATACAACGATGTGTATCAATTATTTCTCAATAAAACTAGAAAAAATTTAACTAAAATTTGTTTTAATTTAGCTTCCTAAAAAATAAAGAATGAAGTCTGACAAGAAGCAGACTTCCTTCATTTTCAGAAATGCGCCTACCAACTAAAATCCTGTTGAGGTTCACACATGCTACCAGCCATCTGTCTGAGCCAAGAAAATAATGAGAAGCAAAACCTAAGGACTGCTCCTACGGAAAAATCTTCCCACTCTTTGCCTTCCATGAAGACATGGCAAGTGGGCCACCTATATATCTAAGAGTCTTTCTAAAGCATATTTTCCACTGATAAATAAGTCCAAGCAGCTATTATTAACATTTCTGTCCCCCACCTTCCTGATTTTTGTCTTAACAACATGAAAAGGTAACATCGTGTTTTAATAAAGTGTAATTTTACATGGTGTGTTACAGACACATTCTGATATCCAACCTCAAACAGTTAAAATCTCAAGAAGCCACTTACTGCTACACCAGCATGGTAGCTCGTCCCACAGGCAATAAGAATCAAACGCCGACACCTCTGGATCTCCTTAATGTGATCTTTCAAACCGCCCAAATTCACTGAAATAAAAGTTTGTGAATATAATTATTGAGGAAAGGACCACAGGAAATAGGTAATTCCTTTTCGTGAGTGTCCACTGCCAATATGGGAAACACTACCATTTTAAAGAATTATATACGGTTTTGAAGACTAAATTAAAGGGGCGCCTGGGTGGCTCAGTCACTAAGCGTCTGCCTTCGGCTTAGGTCATGATCCCAGGGTCCTGGGATCGAGCCCCACATCAGGCTCCCTGCTCAGCGGGGAGCCTGTTTCTCCCTCTCTCTCCTTCTGCCTGCTGCTCTGCCTACTTGTGCTCACTCTCTGTCAAATAAATAAATAAAATCTTAAAAAAAAAAAAAACTTTTATGAGGAAGATATAACATTGATAAAAGTCCTTTTTAAAATCATGAACTTCTGAAAGTTTCTCTGTCTTCCCGTGTGAAATAAATCTTTTTCCTGATCTTTCTTCCAAGACTACCATAGGTGGTCTTTACTGCTACTCTCCCAGTTTTTCCAGCTCAACCCCCTTCAACGAGCCCTTCTCCCCACACCCGCAAACGTAGCTCCTGCTTCTCTCCTTCCCTTCCCCAACGTCTTAGCCTAGACAGGACAACATCCTAAGTGGCAACTGCACACCTCAGCCTCTCGCCCCTCCAGGGCACGCTGCTCAGACTAGCACCCAGTTCACTCCAGTGAAGCTCTGATCACCTTGGCTCCTAAGCCTCCTAACAGCTCTGTAATTTCTACACAAGGAGGTTCCCCCACACCTCCGCCTGACAGTAGAGCATTCAAGAACCCCTTTGGCAGCTCCTCCCATCTTCTTTCCCAGACGTACTGCTCCTTACTCTCTTCAGGTAGTAGATGTGGCAAACTGGACCACACAGTACTCTACCAATAGCTTGCCCATGGTCTTCCACTATCTCCCCCCTTAGCTAACTCTGTTTTCTCCAACTGCAGTGCTCCTGTGTCATCTTCACCTTCCAGATCCTTGAAACTCATGCCTGCCTGCTTTGTGAAGCCTTCCCTGGCCCCAAAGCCCCTGCCCACAGACAGATTTATTGTCTACTCCAAATTCAACAGTGAACTTCAAACATCTCAACATTAAACTATGTCTCTAGTGTCATTTATTGTATTTTACCTTTCTTTAAGTAATTATCTATTTGCCCCTTCTAGATTTATAAGAACCTCAAAGAGATCATATCAGAAATAACTTCCCTATAGTCCCTGCTATGTTCAACATGATGTTCTGAACACAAGATGTTCTATTTATAATTTAGCTTCAACAGATCTCTCCTGTTGAGAAAGTCTGATGCTGCTCAGAAAAGAAAAAGACACAGAGACAGCATTTACTCAGAGAAATCATTCTCTGGACATCTCTGGAAATCATTACCAGGACATGGCATAAGAAAGAAGACACTTAACACTGCACATAGGACACACAGATTCAGGATGAGAGTTTTACACCCTAACAATTATTTGTCAAAAATGAATTAATGCTGAGAAGTTTAGCCCAAAGTTTGTTTGCTACACTGTTTATTAAACTGGTCCTGATGAATGAGCAGTGTTCCCAAAATGGGAGTTCGCAATAAAGAGGTTAGAGACAACTTAGGACCCCAAACATCAATCTCAAACTCATCTCTGCAGGTGCCCAAGTTCCTCTGACACAGGGTCCAGGCAGAACTTCCAGAAAGACGACCAGGGCTGCCCTCTCAGCTCATCCTAGGCAGGCAGGAAGGTATATGTTATCCCAGAAGGCATTAAGCAAACACCTGGAAAGCCTCTGGGAAGTTCACACCTTCACTCACTTAGAAACTGAGAGAGAAAATCCAGGCTGAGCAGATACATGGCAAGCTTCCCAAGAGAGAGACCAGGTCTCACTCCTCTTGGAATTTACAGTGTCCAGAAGAGTCCCTGCTACACAGCAAGTGCCCCAAAAGGTTTTCTGAAGTGAAAAGAGGTTAAATGTTTTTAATGGTAGACTGGAGGACATCCCCGCCCCACTCCAGGAAAATCATGCTAATACTGACAACTTTCAAATGTGACTTTCTAGCCAGTTTTTACATTTTTTTTATAACTACCTTATTAAAATACGTCACGTACCATAAGTTCACCCTTTTAAAGTCCACAGTCAGTGGTTTTCAGTATATCGAGAGCTGTACAACCATCAGCACCACCTGATTTCGGAACATTTCATCACCTGTCCCAAATCCCACAGTCATTAGCGTCACTCTTCATCCCCATCCCCTCAACCTCTGACAACCATTAGTTATTACCTCCCCCTTTTTACTGCAGTAAAATAGATGTACATCAATTTAACATTAAACATTGTTAAGTGTACAGTATAGCTCCACGGCATTAAGCCCGTTCACACTCTTGGGCAACCATCGTTATCATCCATCCCCAGAACTTTCTCATCTTCTCAAACTGAAACACTCTCCCTGCCCCCGGTAACCACTGATCTACCTCCTGCTCTATGCCTCTGGCATCTGACAATTCTAGGCGCACCTCACGTCACTGGACTCACATATGGGGGGGTGGGGTGACAGACAACTGGGCGCCGTTGGTGGCCGGCAGCCACAGCTTTCTGCCAGGCTATAAAGAACAAGGAGTTTTCAGGCCCTGCCAGTACCAACCCCCACAGGAGGCTCCAAAATAATCATCCGTAGTTCATTACCAGTATAGTCATCAAAGTTGACTCTTCCTCGCATCGTGTTCACAACAGACTCGGGCTGCTCAAAAATTTCTTTCTGCATGAATGAACTGAAGTTGCCTAAAGTAACAAATTGTATCATTAAAAAATTTGTACCAACTGAAGTCTATCTTTTGTAACATAATCTCAGGAAGGCAGTAGAGTACAATATTCACATAGGACATTTTGCCCTGTGTGAAGAAAAATACATAAGGAGGAAAACTCACTTTATTAACTTCACACCTAAAACACGCAGATAGAACAAAACAGAGGAGGGGGACAGACTTAAGTTTTAGAGTCAGATTTGTTTCAAATGATGGTTCTATCCTTGAACACCTAAATGGCTCTGGGGAAATTCCCTCATCCATAAAATAAGAACAGCAACTATTTCACAGCACTATTGTGTGTTAGTGTAGAGGAGACCTAACATGTAGCAGTTAGGAATAAATGTTAGCTTTTAGCCCACCGTGACCCCATGAGAAAGGAAAAGAAAAGTCATTTTTAAGAAAAATCATCTTAACAGTTCACAAGAGCAAACATTATAGTAGGCCTAAGTGTGTCAGGTACTGTTCTGAAGGCTCTACATAAATTAGCTCTCTTCATCTTCAAAACAACCTTAATGAGGTAAGTTCTACTATCCACATTTATTTATATATTCTATACATATATATTCTCTCGGGAGAGGAATAAAGAACAGAACAAAAGCTATGTTCATAAAGTATCTTAAAAATATCAAGAACTGGGAGCCTGGGTGGCTCAGTGGGTTAAGCCTCTGCCTTCAGCTCAGGTCATGATCTCAGGGTCCTGGGATCGAGTCCCGCATCGGGCTCTCTGCTCTGCAGGGAGCCTGCTTCCTCCTCTCTCTCTCTCTCTCTCTCTCTCTGCCTGCCTCTCTGCCTACTTGTGATCTCTGTCTGTCAAGTAAATAAATAAAATCTTTAAAAAAAAAAAAAATATCAAGAACTGGGGCGCCTGGGTGGCTCAGTGGGTTAAAGCCTCTGCCTTCAGCTCAGGTCATGATCTCAGGGTCCTGGGATTGAGCCCCGCATCGGGCTCTCTGCTCAGCAGGGAGCCTGCTTCCTCCTCTCTCTGTCTCTGCCTGCCTCTCTGCCTACTTGTCTGTCAAATAAATAAATAAAATCTTTAAAAAAAAAAAAAATCAAGAACTATTTAGACAATCAGCCTCTTTTTTAATGTAAGAAACAACAAACCATGAATTAGTTTGAAGAATAACTACTTTAAGACCAGCAGGTAATTTTTCCAAAGAATCATCCCCTTTCCTGGGATTATCCCCTCAATAATTGTCTGGAAGATTTCAGTCAGCACTGTCATCAGATTCCTACACAACCACAGGAAGCAGAATGTGTCCTTTCCATTAAGAACACCAAGCTACAACATGACAAAAACTTTCACCCTTCATGATCTGCTGCAGTTCCATCTGGAGGGTCTGCACAGCTCGTCCAGGATGATCTCCCGCAGTCCGTTTAATTCGATGGATAGAAAGACGGCCATCTACCACCGCTGCAACATCATCGTCTTCAAGGAAGATGACACGATTGGTATGTTCTATGACAGCACTATAAAAAGGTTCAAGGACATATTACAATCAATAATCAAGGATGACTACTACAAATAAAACTACCATTAGAACACACAGACCAAGTTTAAATACAAACTTGGGGCACCTAGATGGCTCAGTCAGTTGAGCATCTGACTCTTGATTTTAGCTCAGGTCATGATCTCAGGGTCATGGGATCAAGCCCCATGTTAGGCTCCGTGCTCAGTGAGGAGACTGCTTGAAATTCTCTCTCCCCCTCTCCCTCTGTCCCTCCTCTCTCTCTCTAATAAATAAATCTTTAAAAAATATATAAAACAAAAAATACAAACCTATCATTGTGCAGTATCTTTGATAACTTTCTGGTTACCCAAGCCATTCCCTACAGGGCAGTGTCCCCTACTAGGGACAATGAACGAAAGGACCTCTGTGCAACACCCTAAAACAAATTAGATTTGATCAAATCAGAAAGCATGGCTATTTCCTCCTCATTCTATCTCCAAATTCTTCCATTTTGTACTCCTAAATATTTCTCAAAGCCTCTATGTCCACCACTACAAGCCAGTTCAAGCTACCATCAGATCTTGGATGAACTATGGCAGCAGCCTCCTAACTTTTCCAACCACATTCCTTCCCTCCCTCCATCCATTCTCCATCTCTGCCAAAATGAGTATCAAAAGGTAATTCAAACCAAGATTTCTCTCTCACCCAACAAACCACTTGATGGCTTTCCTTTGGCTTTTCAGAAAACAACAAAAACACCTTACCATGACCCTACCTCCTTCTCTAGCCTCATCTCCCACTTCCTCTATTCCAGCCATACTCATACCTATCCCAAGCTCTTACAGACTGATCAATCTGCAGTAAATGAAATGTTCTTTCCTCTATCTCTTCACCTAACTAACTCCTAACATCTCCTTATCTCTCAAGTGTCACTCCCTTAAAGAAATTCACCCACAGGAGACTGAGTCACCCTGTTACAGGCATTCTTGTCACAGCTGGAATTCTATACTTGTATGATTGATTAAAACTTGTCTTCTCCATTAAGGAAAAGCTCCTCAAGGATAAGTTTATACACACACACACACACACACACACAGATAACTTTTTCTTAAAAAAAAATTTTTTGGAGTAATCTCTACCCCCAACGTGGGACTCGAACTCACAACCCCAAGCTCACATTCAAACTCACAACCCTGAGATCAAGAGTCACAGGCTCCACTGACTGAGCCAGCCAGGCACTCCTCAGACAAGTATATTTTTATTTTTACTCACAATTATCTCCTAAGCCTAGGACATGGATTTGCTCAGAGTGTTCAATATGAACCTATCAGTCAATGACAAAAGGATGATAAGCTTCTACAATTTCCAGTTTATTGAAGCCATAACTGTCAATTCTGTAACAAACCTACTTAATGACAATGATGCATCCTAGCACTGAGTATACCCCGACAAAGGTTAGGAAACAGTCAAAACTTATTTTCCCACTGAGATGATGCAATCCCAGCAGTCTTAAACTACGACTCTTTCTCATCTTCAGACCCCCTTACTTCCAGGCACAACGAATGACTCAAGTGCTTGCTGGCAACCTGAGCGATCCATTTGATCCTCCCCACTGTTGGTATTCTACTTCTAAATGCATCTAACCACCCCACGGTACTTTTCACTCTAAATGCCTTAGTCTAGTACTATTTCTTTTATAAAAGTGATTATGTGGGAAACTACTTCTGAATTAAAAAAGGCAAGTGTCCTTATTGGACTAAAACTATAATGGTTTAGCAAGCATACTGTAATTGCTGGGACAATAAGCCATTCTGTTCTCCAGTCTAAAATCTCTCCTCCCTATAAAACCTGGGTAAGGCTCCAGAAAAGAAAAATAAAAAGAGGAAAAATAATAAAAGAGCTCAGAGTAAATATGCAGAAACGAGTCTCAAGGACTGTTCTCTTTTCTTGGTAAACTGACCTACATGCTTTGAACTGAGAGGAAAAATATTCTTAGAACCCCATCTCCATTTAAAAGGACACCTACATTTTTCCCTAATTGACAAAATTCTCCCACACAGGATGACTAGATATGCATAAAATGACTTTTGGTTTCAGTAACATGAGAAGTTTTACTGAAGTTCTCTGAACCAACGAAGGAAGCTCACCTTGCATCAGAAGCAAAGTAATATTCCACTGCTTTTTCTTCCACAGGGAAAAGGCAAGTTGTGCTGTCCACACGAGAGAGATTGCAGCTTCCCTTTTTGTCCTTCCCTAGAGCACAGAGTTAACACAAATCAGCAATCATGCAGGAAACCATGGCCAGTGGATAAACAGACATAACTTTCTATAAAATCAACAAAAAACCATAGCAACACAAAATAATTTCAGCAACTCTGAGATGCTAGGTAGATCACCTTATTTCCATGCAATAAGCCAACAAGAACAGACACAGGTGTAGAGTGAAACAGCAACTATCAAAGAGAGCGTGGCAGATGAGAGTGCTACATTACACATTTTAAAAACGGAATATTTCTCTTCCAGGTAAAAGGCAAATAATTCACTAATATCACTAACTTTTTTTAATCAACAGTATGTATCACCTAATTTTAACTTTACATAAAACTTGATAGAATACATATAAGTTTATGTAACTAAACTTACAAAAATTACATTAAAAAATCAAAATTGTGCAATGAATAAAATGAAGATTGATGGCATATTAGTTTTTATTATAAAACTTCTCTAGATTTTAACAGTAAGTCAGCACAACAAATCAAGTTGTAATTTATACTAACTCTGATTTCAAAACAAAACAAAGATACTTAGAACTCTCTATCATACACTAGATGTGGCCCCTACTGTTAAGGATTGGAAATACCATAAACCTACTCTTCTTTCTTAAAATTGGATTTTCTTACATTTCTTTTAAGTTAGGATAAAATACGGTCCTTCTGCAATAATAATCCTTTTAATCCTAGAACTTTAGAAATCTGGCATCTCTAATTAATTTGTCAAGTCATGAATGAAGAATTTTTTTTCCTTTTGGCTCACTCACAACAAAAGTCAAAGGTGGAAAGCAAAGTGAAGTTTGACAAATTAGCCAAATATGGGGGGGAGGAACCCATTACTTGAAGACTATATAACACAGAGACAAAAAAAAAAGCACCTTTTTCTGAGATCAGGACATTTACAGACCTTTTAACTATGGACACAATGGCCAGAGGACACAATAAATACACTTGCAAAAATTCATATTGTATCTATCCTCTAATGCATGTCTATGAAGACTTGCTTGTAAGTATTCTTAGAAATATACATCCAAAGTTCTCCACAATCGTACCAGTATGATGTGTTTTAGACATGAAAACCAAACAGCTCTTTAGATCTTTCCATCCAAATTCAAAAGCAAAAAAGGTATCACAGTTTTAAAAATACATATAAGATGACATGCTAGGAAAAATTACACTACAGGAAGAGAAAACAGATGGGTGTTTGCCAAGGCCTGAGTATGGAACAAAGGAACAAGGGCTGGCTACAACTCTCCAGCTGGAGGGAACTTTCACGGGCATGGAATCGTTCTGCACTTTGACTGAGGTGGTTAACAACTATTTGCACTTGACAAAACTCATGAAACTGCACATCAAAAACAGCGAACTTTCCTGATGTTGAAAAAAAAGTGAATTAAAAAATATAAAGAAGGATAGCCTAGGACCAATATTTTCAAAATAAATACAACTAGCTTTAGGTGATTCGATGCCCTACTGGCTGTCAAGTTTCACTATCTTCTCCAGATATTTATTCTTCAAGTAACAAGGTATATTTTATTATAATATCTAGAAGGATTTAATATCATTGCCTAGTTAAATGAAAAGAACATTACCACCTGATGCCTACACGACTCGTGCAATCTACAAAATGTTTTGCCGTACATAGATTTTCTCATCTGATTTGAGTAGAATACAATCATTACCATCCCCTCTTATTTTGTCAGTAGTTACACCTGAAGAATATAGCAAAAATCTAAAAGCCCCCTTTATACAGCCTCTTTAATAAGAGGCTAAACTTTTAAAACTCAACTTTGTGGGGCACCTGGGTGGCTCAGTGGGTTAAAGCCTCTGCCTTCAGCTCAGGTCATGATCTCAGGGTCCTGGGATAGAGCCCCGCGTCGGGCTCTCTGCCTGCTTCCTCCTCTCTCTCTCTGCCTGCCTCTCTGCTACTTGTGATCTCTGTCAAATAAATAAATAAAATCTTTTAAAAAATAAAAAAATAATAATAAACTCAACTTTGCTGAGCCACACATCATCTACCTACAAGGAGCTGTAGAAACAAAGGTTACTAAAATGTAATTCATGATCTTAAAAAGATGCATCATATTAAGTTTTTCTTCTAACTTCTTAAGACCTTAGCCAATGTTTTTCCATTCTTTTTTTCTACGAGCAGCCCAAGAAAATGTATAAGGTAACATAAAAGTAATGTATAAAAAGAGCAGGATTATTAACAGAAATCTGGAACCCTGGATCCAAAATTCTCTACTCTCACTGCTTATACTAGTTTTTCTTCTGAAAAGGGAAGGACAGGGAGGAAGTAAGAAGAAATCCTAACATTTCATGACTGAAGGTTATATACGGAACTTTCTACTTTAGATAAAAGAGCTAAAGCAGCCACTATCTAAAGATGAAAGGTTCAGAGTCCTTTGCTAATTTTTTTTCAAGAAACCAAGACTTATACATTAATAATATGGGTTTCAATTTTCTGAATTTACCACTCCCTATCTTTTACTTGGAAAGCTTTTAATAATAAGTAAATGAAAAGAGCATGCCATTTGTTTTCTGTCTAATTATATCAATAAAATGATCCAGAATTTGTATGGCTGAAAGTCCTATAAAGAAAAATAAACTTCAAACAAACAAAAACACTCCAATTTCAAACAAGGCAATCAAGATGTGAATGTGAATCTAAAAGTAAAATGTCATGCATAAAATAAAGATCATTTAAATATAACTTAGTAAAAAGTTAGAATAAATTAAATAACTACCATTGAATTCAATCTACAATAGCCTAGCATACAATGCTCTTTCCCAATCTAAATATCTTACTTACATTACTGTATCTTACATGAATTTTAAAAAAAAAAACTTTACAATTTAAAATCTAAATTTCAAAGAAACAAATTATTAAAAGCAGTTTTCTAAATGCCAAAAGCAGACAGACAAAATATACTCTGCAAATTAGAAAAATGTCAAAATATGTTTCCCCATAAAAAAAGCACATTTTTAGAGGCCCAGCACATTCATTCACTCCAAGAACAAAGAATTAGTAAAGAATGAACAAAAGAGGATAAGATTCCTCCCCATCCATGCAGAGTGCATTTCCCACCTCTTTCTCCCTGTGATCCCCACCGTGTGAATTTTGATCCAATCTGAGTCCTAGCTAAGGATATACAACAGAAAAAAATTCTCCTCGTCAGAGAAATCACAACAGCAAATCCTTTTCACGTCTAGACAGAACTATATACACATATGTGTGGATCTGACCAAAGAGACATTTATTTCAATTTAATGAACACAATTCTTTTTATCTACTGCACTCAAATTTATTCCTCTTGGCAAGACATAGCAAGAGTTTTTACCTGTTCTGTAGAGTATTGGAATGTGATCAGTAGAGAGCTTATGTTCACTTCGTACACCAATCAAAAGAGGGCTACCTCGTCTGTTAGTGCAAAATTAGGCAGAATTACATCATTTTCATAAATATTGCACAGATACAAATTTTCATGAGCCAACACTCATCAAATAACGTTTAACTTTTCCCCTTTAAACTTGGCTTCAGGTATAACAAAACAGTAACAGACACAGAATTTTTATAAAATAGTAACAGGGTCAGCAGTCTATGCTCCTGAGGCCAGGTCTATCTATTTTTGTTACACAAGAGTTTTACTGGAACCCAGCCATGCTCTTTCTTTTCCCTATTTTCTACAGCTGCTTTCCCACTATAGCAGCAAAACTTGGTGCTACAGAGGCCGTATGGCCCAGAAAGGCTAAAATATTTACTCTCTGGACCATTACAGAAAAGTCTTTCTCCTTTTTAAAATGTCAAATGGAAACTTTCTTTCAATTGTACATGGAATTCTGACACACGAATGTTTAAGCATTTTGAGGCCGTATGGCCCAGAAAGGCTAAAATATTTATTCTCTGGACCATTACAGAAAAGTCTTCCTCCTTTTTAAAATGTCAAATGGAAACTTTCTTTCAATTGTACATGGAATTCTGACACATGAATGTTTAAGCATTTTCTCCTTAGTCACCTTGCCTTCGTATTAAAAATAGCTCTTTCTTGCCAAATATTAGGGCTTCCCACTGGCCTAAAAAGGGCGTCATGATCAGGCCTACATATCGTCACAAAAGTAGTGATGGTACTATTATCTCAGAATCCACTCAGAATATATACTTCCAAAAACTACGGAGAAAGTTAATGTTTGGGGCCTGAAACTAAGGAATACTCAATATCCAAATTCACAAAGTAACCGTGGTATCCCACTACAGACAAAAGGCCAGTTTATAAATGCAAAAATATATTTGCTTTATTAAGGGATTCTGTTAAATGGAAGAGTGGTAAAAAACAGACAAGAAAGGACATGTGAAAACATATTCATATGGAGTCTCTGAGACAGGGCAAGTCCTTACAGTGAAGGGTAATCATCATGTACAGAAAACATACTTGTAATTCAGATGTTTCAAAATACATATAATTATTAGTCATTATTAAATTTGTATGTACCTTGTGCCAACTGCTTGGCCAGGAAAATGAACACTTTTAAATACCAGTGCAAAAGCACCTTCCTATAAGAGGGGGAAAAATGCATTAGCAATATTTATTATAATCAATTCTCAAATGTGAAATTCCTAAAACATATTGGCTTCAGCACAGAAATTTTTTGTTTACATGCTGCCCTTTTGCAGTAGGTTATAAACAAGTCTAAAATTTAGGTAGACACTTATTCCTTAACTTTGGTGTATCAAGATACACTTTTTCACCAAGCCCCTCTTGAAATCGACTCAATAGATAATAGCTCCACAAAAGACTATTTTAAAGCACTTTTGTACATATTTCTAAATAGATACATCCTATCCCATACTAGGCATTAGAATGCAGGGAACAGAGGATTAGAAAAGACTACAAGCCCAATATCCAAAACCCCTACTCCAGTCCAGTGATTTTACACCACTGCTAACTTCCATGCTTGTCGACCTTGATACTGGAGATAAAAATATACAAAACCACAATTATTAACAAGCATACCCAACCTCCTCAGGGACCGGGCAAGAAAATCAAGAGTGAATAAAAGAGGAACAGGAGGCAGGAAAGGTAAAGGATCACCCTAGAATGCAAACTGGGTTATATAATGCATAGAAACAAGAAAAGGCTAGAAAGGCACAGTACTCTGCCTTGAGTAAAGGGAAGGAATAGGCCTCTATCTTCTCCATCTTCCTAATTCCTCCATTTGCTTCAGGCATCATGAGATTTGGGTAGAGGGAGGAAGTGAGGGTTAGACCTTCAGAAAGAAGCAGAGGGCTTTTAAATGGGAACGCTAGAGTAATGAATGGGGATGGGGGCAGAAATCCCAATGCATCTGGACTTTTGTGGATCTTTCGTGTCTTTAATCTTTAACTAGGACAACTGGGATGGGATGAGAAAGAATGCCATTTTTTTCTTCGGCTGGAAAATTATAGTGTTACAAGGCCAAGGCAATGTGCCATAAGGAAAAATAAGTTGACTATACTGGCTCAGAGACATGCAAACATTATCCCAGAATAAAGAGTGTGCATTTTACTGAAGCTACCCTTGTGCTAAGTTACTGACTAAAAAGAATACTTGAGTGAGTAGGAAGCAAGAAAGTAATGAACCCGACTGTGTCTATTGTATACAGGTTTGGGTGGTATGTATGGGCTTGTGTGTGTGCGCGCGCATAGGACAAACTCTTAGATTTGGGATTATTTTTAATTCCCATGACACTGAACTACAGTGAAAGAAGAAGAATTTTAAGTGTGTGGGAAGAAAGGAGGTCAAAGAGTCTTTCAAAATTATTTAAGCTAAGTATTTATATATATATATATATATATATATATATATATATATATATGAAATAAAAGCCAAAAATACTTAAGAAATTAACATAGTTTCTGCTTAAGAGTTTGTTATGATTAACACTGGCAATAATTATCTTTAAAAGTGTGGTTTAATACCAATTGTTGGATAACTCTCTCCACCAAGGTAGTAAAACTGATGTCTTGACTTTCCCGATTGTCATACATGTACTTAACAAGCTTGGCAATTGTCTCTGTATCTGTTTCCGATTCAAAGTCATAGCCTTTGCTTTCCTAAAATAAGAAATGGAAAAAAAAAAATGGACACATTTAAGGAAATAGTCATGATATCCAAATCTTTTCTATATAATTTTTTTCTCAAAAATTTCACTAACCAAATTCTAATATTTTTTCAACACCATATCCCATTACCCATTGTTCAAAATTAAACTCACTATCTAACCACAGTGAACCCAAAATGGTGAGGTATTTGGTGTAATTTTGAATATACACTTATAATTATATAAATCTAGATATATGCCATATACAAATTAAGAACACTTTAAATAATTAAAATACAATATGCAATAGTCACAAAACAGTAATTCCATAATGAACATAATGATTCTTTCATGGATAATGAAATTGCACTATCCATCAAAACAGTCATTAGCTGTATGTGGCTATTTTTTTAATATTTTTTAAGATTTTATTTATTTATTTGAAAGACAGAGAGAGAGAGAGAGAAAACATGAGTGGGGAGGAGTCAGGGAGTAAGGAGAAGCAGACCCCCCCGCTGAGCATGCAGTCCGATGTGGGGCTCAATCCCAGGACCGCAGGATCATGACCTGAGCGGAAAGCAGACACTGAATGGACTGAGCCACCCAGGTGCCCCATATATGTGGCTTTTTTAAAATGTACAATGTTCTTGGGACACCTGGGTGGCTCAGTTGGGTGGGTGGCTGCCTTCGGCTCAGGTCATGATCCCAGTGTCCTGGGATTGAGTCCCACATCGGGCTCCTTGCTCAGCAGGGAGCCTGCTTCTCCCTCTGCCTCTGCCTGCCACTCTGTCTGCCTGTGCTCACTCTCTCTCTCTCTGACAAATAAATAAATAAAATCTCTAAAAAAAAATTTTTTTAAATAAATAAATGTACAATGTTCTTTTTTTTTTTTTTTAAAGATTTTATTAATTTATTTGACAGATCACAAGTAGGCAGAGAGAGAGAGAGAGGAGAAAGCAGGCTCCCTGCGGAGCAGAGAGCCCAATGCGGGGCTTGATCCCAGGACCCTGGGATCATGCTGAGCCTCAGGCAGAGGTTTAACCCACTGAGCCACCCAGGCGCCCCATATATGTGGCTTTTTAAATTTAAACTGATTAGGGGGCACTTGACTGGCTCAGTTAGTAGAGCACATGACTCTTGCTCTCAGGGTTGTAAGTTTGAGCCCCACAATGGCTGTAGGGAGGACTTAAAAATTAAAATCTTTAAAAGTAAAAATAAGATCTTTAAAAACTTTAATTAAAACAAAAATAAACTTAAACCAATTAAAATGAAATAAAATATCAAGTTTAATTCCTCAGTCCTAGCAGCTCAAGGACCACATGCGGGTGTTGGACCACAAAGATACAGGCTTCCAGCATGGCCAAAATTTCAATTGGACAGCCCCAAGAGGCACTCATGAAGGTCATCCCCTTGACTATTACTATATAGTACATGGCTATTTAGGGCAGAGAAACTTCATTTAATCTGTCCTAATTCTTCTTATGTATCCCAGAATCTTTTACAAATGATAAACAAGGTCTCTCACAATGCAAAAGATGTCCCCCCACCACAAATTCCAATTTTATCTGAGCTTTGAAGGGTCATTTATGATAAAACCCAATAATTATTTCCTACTCACGTAAGAAACAAAAATATTTCACTGTGAACAAAGAAGGGTCCAGTAAACCACATACCCTTGTAACCATCTCAGGAATTATTTGATCATACCTAGACGGTGCTGCGCATTTCGCCAAACCACCTTGCTACTTTCATTAGAAATTTCTCAAAGCTTGGTGTCTTTTGAGGTTACTTTACTTACCAAAAACTTCTTCAAGTCTTTGTAGTTGGTGATAATTCCATTGTGAATAACAATAAATTCTAAAGGAGATAAAAATTATTGATGACAAAAAATTACAGGTCTTATAAACATTATAAATAGCCAGTATTGTCAGATTTTTCTCAAGTCAAAAAATTTGTCACATGCTGTAATTCCAAGTATAATCAAATATCTTCTATTTTTCATTATCAGATTACCTTTGGGTAGATCAGCAGCATTACTTATGTCGTTTAGTGGAAGCACACAGTGCTGGGGACATGGATATTAGAGGGGAAATGTAATAAGTTGGGGTCTAGAGACATCAACTTCATTTGTGGCTAAACTACTAAGCTAATGTCACCATAAGAAAGGGCCAAATTTCCTGGGCTTGTGTCTTCATTTGCAAAACAAGAAGGCTGAATTACATGATTCTTATTCTCACTTCTTTGTTCATTCATTTTTATGCATAAAAATTTCCCAAGTTTAAAGTGAAAGACTTTCGAACTAAAACAATTACCTGATTTACATTAAATGAGTTTAAGAACTGAAGTTAGAGAATAAGAAAAACCACTTATTCAGATTTATAGTGAAATTTACTTAGGAGAGGTCCAGATATTAAAATGTCAGATGTCAGATAAATTGATATTAAAACAGTATTCCAAGATCAAAGAAAAATGCAGGATAATTCTCATCTTTTTTATTAAGTAACTGAATATAAATGCAATATTTTAAATCCATGAGTTTACAATAAATAAAAGAAACTCATTCATCTTAGAACATTAGAACCACTTCATTTTTGAAAAATGGTAAATAAAGTTAAAAAAATCAAACATTCACTCTGCCTTTCCTATGTATAATCTGTAAGTCTGGGTAACTAAGCAGTTAGATATGGAGAAGATTCTCTTTAAAGTATGTGAGATAAGTGAAAAAGCAATGAGAGTATTTGACTATCACCATTTTACAAAACCCTAAAGAAATTAATGTTGGCAATGATCATCTATGGCCACTAGTAATACAAAAAGAAAAGTGCCCAAACACCACGTACCTCCAGATATAAATCAATACCAAACCATTAAAGAGAAGAGACAGAGAAACACGGTATATACCATAGGATGCATACAATTAGCATGATCTAGACTGTAGGAAAGTCTACAAGACAAATACAATAATCTATAAGGGAAAAGGAGACAAACGGAGAGCTTCCAAAATAATCTGGGTGGAGAGGTATGGTGAAAAATTACAGATTGTGTATAATGTTAAAGCTGGGTGACCGACCCATCTGGTTCTACATATTCTCTACTTGTGAATAGGTCTGAAACTTTACAGATCAAAAAAAAAATTAAAATAACAAAAACATAAAAGCTTTCACTCTTCTCCCATCATTGACCCCTCTACAATCATTCCACAGCATGCAGAATGTGTCCATACCATTATTTTTATCAGAACGCTGGGGATGGCTATTGACAGGATTGGGTTCTCCATGTGTTGCCCAACGGGTATGAGCTATTCCAAGGTGTACATCAAATTCTATATCCAAATCCATATCCTGTTGTTCTGAAGAACATAATATGAAAAATTCCATTATTAAATCATGCTGTAGAGCTAGAAGCTATAAATATTATTTATTATATATATTAATACAGTGCTGTTCACCCGGAGCATACAATTATTCAAACTAAAGATCGGCCATATTCAAAATAGTAATTAAAAGATTCAGGATGCCTGGGTGGCTCAGTTGGTTAAGCAACAGCCTTCAGCTCAGGTCATGGTCCTGGAGTCCTGCGATCAAGCCCCACATCGGGCTCCTTCTCTGCAGAGAGTCTGCTTCTCCCTCTGACTCTCCCCCATCTCTTGATCTCTTTCTCTCTTTCTTTCTCAAATAACAGATAAATAAAATCTTTAAAAAAAAAAAAAAGAAAAGAAAAGATTCAGGACTTAATGCAGCTCAAATATTTAGAGCAAATGAACCCAGCAACCGGGGGATAAAGTAAATGTGACAAAGTACTAACATCTGGTAAAACTAGATGAAGTATATGGGTGGTTAACGCACGATTCTTTCCACTTTTCTGAAGGCTTGAAAATGTTCAAACTGAAGGGTTATGGACCAAAAAAGTAAATGTGGTTTTTTTTTAAATCTATATTTAATCTGTGCCTTGAAAAAAACACCAGTACCACTTTAACTACACATGTAAAAATAAATTCACATTCTCAATGCCATACAACCTTATGACTGCAATTTCTTTGGTCCCCAGTGAATGTAAACATATTTCAGAATATAAACTGCAATTATGGAGAGCTTCTAAAATCAAAGAACAGTCCTTGAGAGTAGAACAAATGAAAGTATGGGGTTATAGACGGATGTTCCTTTATTTTGAAAAGCAGCTATTCTGACTTCCTTTCCCTATAAGATATCTCTTCTTGTTTTTTCCAAAGGAAAAAAAAGCAGTTCTAGTATTTACTAGTAATGCCCCCTTTCTGATTTACTAAATATAAAATTCATTTGGCAAAGAAACCAGATATCCAAGCCTATGAGAATCAGACCTAAATTAAGAAGAGCAAACTGCTCAGAGTCTCAAATAGGAAAGTCCGTGCATTTATTTTAGCACGGTCTTTGTGGTTTTTATACTGGCTAATCAGACATCATTCTCACACACAAATATGATCAAGAAAAAACCCTTAAAATCCTTGAACAGATTCCCATTGCGTAAAAAGTGGTTTGCATCCCTAGCTACCCTTGTGAATCATCTTAATCCTGGTCACAGGGATTTATAAAAAGATCCTCAAATTCTCACATAGAGCCAGAGAGCCTTTTTCTCACAAGATAAAGCCCCAGTATCTTTCTGTGGGTACGCGGCCCTCCACCCATTTGGCCCCAGCTGCCTTTACATTCTCATTCTCCCATCTCTCCCATTACCCTTCAAAGCCCTCAACACACCTTTTACAAACAACAATAGCCACCATTTACTAAGATTTTTACCTGATGCTAGGGACTTAAGACTTCTTATTGCCCTATCCATCTCAGTATGACCCAAGCAACCATCAACTAAATTACTTCAACAGAATCCTGGTCTCCCAATGTCCAATCTTCCCTCTGAACAATCTAGTCTTTGCACACTAACCAAATGAGCCCATTAAATCATTGTCACTTCCCTAATGCAAAATCTTCCACGGGTTTCACAAGGCACATGAAGTAAAATCCACCTTTCTGAAGATCCTACATGACCTCATCCTCAGTCACCTCTCCAGCTCCTCTCCTGCCACTCTCCACCTCACCAACACCAATAGAGTCTTTGCACTTGGGTGTTCCCTGTGCCTAGAATTTCCCCCTTCAGACAATAATGCGTTCTCTGCTTACATGTCACTTCTACCATACTTTCTCCTCACAGCACTAATCACACTAGCTAATGTTAAATATTTGTTGTCTGGCCCTCTCACTAGACAGTCACCCACACCCAGAGTTGACAAATACGAACATCTAACCATCTGTGCTTCAGATTTTCAGATCTAAAATGTAAAAAATGCAGCTGATGCCTCCTTTATGCCCTGGCCTCCCCAGGGGATTTTTGAGTTCATGGAGAGTTTTCCCACCTGTGCCTTCAAACATCTAATACACTAACATGGGTCCACAAATGCTAGTATTCTTTTGTTTTCTTAATCTCCCATTCTCTTACTGGTAGACATTTAAGCTGTTTCTACATTTTGCTGCAATGAATCTTGTTGTCATGTCTCCTTGTCCATAGTTTCTTTCAAGTAGATGCCTAAAATGGGAAGCGGCTGGTCACAGGGTGTAGGCACCTCCCATTTAGACATTGCCAGTTTCCTCTTCAAAGTGATTTATCACAAATTTACCAGCAATGTCTGCAAGTTCCCATTTCTCCATTCCCTTCTTGACTTTCCTTCAGGAGGCGGCCTGTTTCAGTATGTTGATATGCAAAGATGGTGATTCTGGTTGCAGTCTGCCTTCTAGCCTCCCGCACTCAACTACCAATAATACAGACTAAAAGGACTACCCACCATTCCATCAAATTTGACTTCCCTATTATCTTTGCCCACGCTATTCTACTCAGAAGGTCCTCCCTGCTCACCTTCACTGCCCAAATGGAAAACAGCAGCCATTCCTTCCATATACCAAGTCTCTCCAACCCCAACTCCAAGTTGGAACTAGCTCTCCCCTGAATCCTTAAGCAACTTGTTTTTTTGTTTTCCCCCCTCTCCTGTGGAACCTACTATAATCAGCCTGGCATATAGGATGTCACACACACAGTACAGCAAGTAATTATACTACAGTTTTTGAAGTACAGTTATTTGGGTATCTGCCTCATCCCTAAGCTAATCTTACCCACAATACGTGCAAATAAGTATTGATCTAGCATGTTCAGCAAGTACTACAAAGCTAAATGTTTGGCTTATGTGAAAAAAAAAAAGTGACCAAGTCCATTATTTTCCTCTTCTACCTGCACTCCTTTACCATGAATTCAATGGCATCCATTTGAGCAGGTATATTTAAAAAGCCTGTTTCTTGAGTTTTTGAGGATTTTTCTTTTTTTAAGAGAGAGAAAGAGCGGGTTAGGGGCAGAGGGAGAGAAAGAAATGTTAAGCAGTCTCTACATTCAGCATGGAGCCTGATGCAGGCCTTAAGCTCATGATGCTAAGATCATAACCTGAGCTGAATTCAAGAGTCAGACACTTAACTGACTGAGCCATCCAGGCACTCCTGTGGCAAATTTTCTTTAAATGTTTTTTTCAGTCAATGTACTTCAAAGCTTTTGTTTTTAAGTTTCCTGTGACAAATTAAAACATGTAAGCATAATGTTATGAACAAAACACTAGGAAGTATATCCTCTTTATTGAAGCATGTAGACAATTACTTTATAACAGGGAAGAAAATCCTGAAGGAAAAACATGACCTTACTTGATTACATCAGTTCTACTAAAAGGCAACATCTAGACTGACTGACTACATGCTCAAAGGAGGCGTTTATTCCTGAGTGAAGACAACCCAGTGAAGACACTAGAATAAGGACACCACTAAAAATACCTTTTGTCCTGTGAAAGATCCTTCCTTGGGAATGGTGGTTACTTCATTTTAGGACGCTGAGCTTGTTATGAACACAATGTACTTAATTTCCTTCCCTTGTTAATATGGTCATTTCTTAAGCTAAGGTACATTGTACACTGGTAGAGACAATAACAAAAGTATACTTTTCTTTCCTTCCCTCAACTTTAAATACCACTATACTTAAAATGGACCCCAAAATAGGGAAAGAAAGGGAAAGTTAAGGCACTGGATGAAGAAGTTCACAGTAATGTACTTAGTTTGAATTTTGTCCCCCCTCCCCTCCCTTGACTTCCTTCTCCCTTCCTGCCAAATTCCCTTTCTTCTTAATGAGCTGGATCTTGCAGGCATTGGCTTCCCAATCCTTGTCATTGCCTCCATCAACTCCCACACCTAATTCATCGAGAGGCAGAAAAACAAGATTTAGAAACTTACTTAGATTATCATCGTGAGGCAAATTTTTAATTAGAAATTATTTTTTCATTTAATTAATTCATTCAATCATCAATTCAAATTTACTGACAACTTATTATATGTCAAGAAACGTGATAGCTGCTTGAAACAAAAATGAAAATAACTCAATCGTTTCCTTCAAATTTCTAACAACAAAAAAACAAGTACTACAGGTTGGGTGGCAATTGGAGCAACAATGGAGAAATGCAGGAGGCTGGCACCCACCTCAGAAAGGGAAGAAGGAAGGAACATCAGGAAACACAGTTCTCAAAATTCTACTTACGTTCCTAAAGAATTTGAAAAAGCTACCTGAAGGTACTGGAAAAGCGCTAAGTAGTTTCAAATCAAGAAATCACATGGCAAAAATGTTGAGAAAACTCTCTCTGGAAACCGTACAGACTGAAGGGGACAGAGAGCAGAAACCAGCTGTCAGAAGATCTAGCTATAGCAAAGCAAATATGGGGAGGCCGTGAACCAAATGGTGGTGACAAAGACAGAGATCGGTGATACTGAGGGTAGACCTGTCTGGGTGCAATGTGAATGTGCAGCCTGAGTCCGGGATTCCTCCTAGGCTCACAAGACTTGTTGAATGAATGCTGAATAAAGGAACACAGAAAGACACGCATGAATTGGACATGCCAAGTTTATAATATCATGGTTTCTCCAGGAAGAAATTTCTACGGGGCAGTTGGAAATACAGGTCTGTGGCTTGGGAAATACATGTGGGTTGTAAGTCACCAACAATATAGGAGGTTGATGAAGTCAGAGCTTACCCATGAAGATACAGAGTAAGAAAATTGGGGCTAGGAAACAATCTTGAAAAAACATTAATATTTGTGCAAAAAGTGGAAGAAAAGGAACCCTCAAAGCAGACAAAAAAGAATCAGCATGTTAGAGAGTATGTGTTGTCAGAGAAGCTAAGGAAAGAGAGAATTTTAAGGACAAAGGAGCTGAAGAGCTCACTTTCTATTAACCAAGGGAAATCATGGAAAATAAATGCCCATTACCTTTGGCCATGTCAAGAGGACAGTAAAAACTTAACATAGCAAGTCTGATACCACTTTCCTTAGAAAGGTCTGCTTGCAAAGCTGGCCCCTGGTTGGCCTCCAGAAACTTGGATTTCAGGATGGTTACCTGACTGATTAAGAATGGCTTACGGCACCTAATTGTGCAAACAGTGTGGCTTATGCTGACCATCTGCTTCCGTTCTGGGATTCTAGAATTTTGGTACATGTTAGGCAGAGGGGGTCTGTGTGACAGCCTCCAAAAAAAGCGTGGGCACTGAGTGACTAATGAGCTTCTCTGACATACATTCCACACACTGTCATAACTGGCTGGGGAATTAAGCACACACCGTGTGACTCCACTAGGAGAGAACTCTCAGAAGCTCGTGCCTCATTATCCTCCATACTTCACCCCATGCACCTTTTCCCTTTGCTGATTTTGCTCTGTATTCTTTTGTTATAACAAATCATAGCCACGAGTTCAACTATATGCTGAGTCGTCCTCAGGAGTTACAAGAACTGAGGGTAGTCGTGGGGACCCCTGACACAGTAAGGAAAGCAGCTAGAATAGAACATAAAGTTGACAAAAAGTTATTTTTAATTGCTTTGTCATTTATTTAAGATAGAAGAATCTCAGGCTAAGTGTATATGCCAACAGCAGGGATTCCCTGGAGAAAAAGAAATCACAGGAAAGAAAAAGATAATTTATAAAGCAAGGCCTTCAAGAACTGTGTTCTACCATGAAAAGGCCCCAGGTGATTTATGTTTTTACAGTAACATTCTTAACAAAGGCAGACATCCTTAAGAAGTAACATAAATGGTAATACTTTGGAAATAATATGTATAAACCCTTTAAACATGACAAAAAAAAATTCTTTTTAGCTTTAGTTGAAACAAATAGATAATGCTAAAGAATCTAGTTAACTAAAACAAACAAAAAATCTCTTTAGATTCGAGATTCATGCAAAACCTAAAATATTTTTTTAAAAGGAAATACCAGCAGAATCATATCCTCTGTACTCCAGTCTCTGAAGGCCTTTGATTAAGGTTTCCAAGATTTCTCGTCTTGTGCGAGGAACATGGTAGTTTAAGTAAGCAAATATACCTGCAAATCAACAAATATTTAATAAAGAATATGACTAATGAAGCAAAATTGACATAACTGTGACAAAATCCTCATTTGTATAATTATGTCTAAGATGTGCAGAAATATGAAGCTAGAGTCATCTTTATTTATTTATTTATTTGAGAGAGAGAGAATGAGAGCGAGCACAAGCAAGTAGAAGAGCAGAGGGAGAGGGAGAAGCAGACCCCCCCCCACTGAGCAGTGAGACCATTCTGGGGCTCCATCCCAGGACCCTGGGATCATGACCTGAGCCGAAGGCAGATGCTTAACCGACTGAGTCACCCAGGCATCCCTAGAGTGACCTTTAAAAAAGAAAGAAATTCTCACTTCAAATTATTTAAAGGTGGTGAAAGTTATACAAAGGGGTATTTCTCCTTCGTATAAAAGACTGAAGCAAATACGTCAAAATAAATGTTTAGCTTTTGCAAAGAAGCTTATAAGGCTAGTCACATATCTTCCATCACTACCACCTCGTCAAGTAAAATTTAATTTTAAAAAATTAAACAATCAACAAATTTGTGGTTTATATCTTATGCCCTGAGCATTGTTTAAGGAAACATTTTCTGAAGTATTTTAAGAAAACACATGGACCCTAAAAAACTAGGCAGATGGAATAATTTTTTTTAATAATAATTTTAAAGCATTCTTTTTTTTTTTTAAGATTTACTTATTTATTTGACAGACAGAGATCGCAAGTAGGCAGAGAGGCAGGCAGAGAGAGAGGAGGAAGCAGGCTCCCTGCTGAGCAGAGAGCCTGATGTGGGACTCGATCCCAGGACCCTGGGATCGTGACCCGAGCCGAAGGCAGAGGCTTTAACCCACTGAGCCACCCAGGCACCCCGGAATAATTTTTCTTACAAATAAACATAAATAAATATTGATGATGTGAAAAATACAACCTAAATAATTTAATAATAGGGAAAAATGGACTAAAATATTTATATAATCCTCTTAAGGGAAAATGGCATTCCTTGAATGAACCAGTTGTTCACCAGATACTACCAAAAGATAAACTACTATTATGATATTCATAAAAAAGCAGCACTTATTTGGAAAAGCAAAACTAGAATAAAAGGACTAGTACAATGTGAACTGAACCAGAAAAGCAAGCAGGCAGAACACAGGAAAAGGAAATCCACATTTTATTTATTTATTTATTTATTTAAGATTTTATTTATTTGTCAGGGACAGAGGGAGAGAGAGCGAGCGAGCACAGGCAGACAGAGAGGCAGGCAGAGGCAGAGGGAGAAGCAGGTTCCCTGCCGAGATATGGGACTCGATCCCAGGACACTGGGATCAAACCTCATGTCGGGCTCCCTCCTCAGTGCGGAGTCTGCTTCTCCCTCTCTCCCTGCTCATGCACATGCATGCTCACTCTTTTTTTTTTTCTCTCACAAATAAAATCTTTAAAAAAAAAAAATACCATAATGTTAATATCCAACAAAAAGCCAATTATGTATGATCACCATGACTGATAAAGTGCAATTTTTTTCAAATAAACTATCATGCTCTTCAAAAAAAAAAAAAAAAGGAAATCCACATTTGAACACTACAGTCCAAAACAAAATGAAAACACTGTCTGAACCTTTCCTAAAAAAGCAGTATGAGATCAAACACTACAGCAATCCTGTATTTCATTCATATTCTTTTTTTTTTTATTCATTAAATATTTTCTTTGAAAGAGAACAAGCATGAGTGAGTCAGGGGAGAAACAGGGAGAGAATCTTCAGGCCAATTCTCTGCTAAGCATGGAGCCTCACGAGGGGCTTGATCCCACAACCAATGAGATCGTGACCTGAGCCAAAAACAAGGGTCAGTTGCTTAACCAAGACACCCAGGTGGCCCCATTCATATATTTTTTAAAACCTTACATCAGTAAAGATTTTTTTAAGTTACCATGTGTTGTACAAGCATGTCACACAGCACCACAACCCTGCATAAGGGCTGCGGTTCCTGATGTCACTGCTGTTCATCGGGTATCTGGAAAACGCACTAATGACCCGACTTCAGTGAAACTTCTATGTGGTTTTACACCTTCCCCCACCATGGGTCACTGGCATTTGATAAAGATTAAATGAATAAAGAAAACTATCAGTTCCAGATAAGAATTTTTATTATGTCATTAAAAGACAATTCACAGATGAATCTGCTCCCAAAATAAGACTGTAATATAAACGATCTAATGAAACACTGATTGTCAACTGATCTACACTCTACCACAGTGATGAGCATCAGCTAAATAATCCACTAGAGGAGGATACAACTGAGCTCGTTTGAAAGTCATTAAACAATAAAACACATTACACTGCTAGGAACTGCTGGCCATCTGAGGCCCTCGAGGAAATTCAGAGTTGCCAAATCCCAACAATGCAGCACAAACCAGAAAACTCAATACTAAGTCATCTCTCTTCTTTTAAGAAATGTAATTCTGATGGTAAAAGTAATACATATGGAGAATTAAAGATTAAATATAATGAATACCAACTTTTGTCAATTTAAATGCTGATATAAAACCAACTGTTCTTAAGACAAATTATAGACTCAACACACTTTTTAAAGGAAAATTCAGAGTGATGCAATATTAAATTTTCAACTTTTAATACACAGAACTCAATAATAGCATTCAACTTCGATACCATTTCTAACTCCAGTCTCTGGTTTATACTGGCTTAGTGTGTGGATCTTGAGATCCTGAGTATCATTTCATGGCAAAAGAGATCTTCTAAACTAATACCCACCTACAAACAAACTTCTAAAGTGGTAACTATTTGAGAAACTAATAAAATTCACACTAAACATTTGTTAGGTCATAAAGTACTCTTTCACCTAAGAAATCCTGCAAATCTTTTAACTCACGTAGGCCTCAAAGCTTTCCACCATACCACCCTGCCTCAAACCCTCTGCAAAATGAATGGGTTTGACTGAGAGGTGGTAAAATAGTTTTCACAGTACCTACCGAGGGATTAACTGATAATGGCTGTAGAAAACATTGTTAAAAATGATTCAGTGGCCCCACTTCCTAAACAGGAAGGAAAGCCGTGATTGATCAGCAACTCGTATTACGAGGAAGTAGAAGGTGACAGCACAAGGGACATATTGCCTGACATTTGAGGACATCTACAGTCCTCACCAGCTTGATGTTCTATAGTATCTGAAGATTCTTCTGATTGCTTTGGAACCATTCCAGATGAATTTGACATTTTTTTAACACCTATACACACTACACTTCTCTTCTGGGCCTCATTTCTTTGTTACAACATTTACATGATTTTGCTCTATGTACGGTGTATCCACCATATTAAAATTGGAAACCTGGTAAAGAGCCTTATCATTTTCAGAGTGCAATCAACTGTTGAACACAGGTTTGAACTGCACAGGTCCACTTATGTGTGGATTTTTCCAACAAATGCAGTACCGTGCTGTGAATGTATTTTCTCTCCATTATGATTTTCCTAATAACATTTTCTTTTCTCCAGCTTTTTTAAGAATACGGTATATAATGTATGTATTAATATTTTTGGTGAGCTTTGTTTATATTATGGTTGAGCTTTCCAGTTAACACATGCCTATGAGTAGTTAAATTTGGGGGGAATCAAAAGTTATACTCGAATTTTCCACTGCAGGGGGTGAGGGTGGGCACCCCAAACCCCATGTTGTTCAAGGATCAATTGTATTCTGCTAAGAATAAAAGCAAAGTAATATATAAAATTTGAGGACATTTTTCTGCAAAATTGCATTATTATCATACCTAAGAAGATAATACTAACACCACCTGATATGATGTTCGTATTTAATATTTCCCTATGGTTCAGTCAGTTAAGATCTGCCTTTGGCTCAGGTCATGATCCCAGGGTCCTGAAATCGAGCCCCACATTAGGCTTCCTGTTTGGTTGGCGGCCTGCTTCTCCCTCCCTCTCTCCCCCACCCCACCTGCTCATGCTCATATGAACTCACTCTTTCTCTCAAATAATAAATAAAATCTTTAAAAATATAAATAAAATTTCCCTATTATAAAAAGTCTTTTACAGCTAATTTGTTCATTCTAAGATATAATAAAGGATCATACCTCACATTTGATTGTTATGTCTCAAAAGTCTCTTTGAATCCAGAATGGTCTCTCCCCTACTGTTTTCCCTAAGACACTGTTTTCCCCAACTCACTGACTTACTGGCAAGCTGAGGCCAATTTGTTGACTGTCTTGTTGACTGTCTCACCTCCTGGCTGTGTCTGTTTCCACACAGTGTAGTCTAACCAATTCCTCTATTCCTTTTATTTCCTGTAGACTGGAAGTTAGATCTAAAGACTTAATTGAGTTACGTTAAAATCTGGAAGCAAGAATTATTCACAATGTATGTATTTTATATTGTCCATAGGTCCCTTATTAGTGATGTTAAGATTGTCACTACTAAAGACAATCAGATCATCTAGCCTATCATATTCTGAAAGCATCTTCAGAATACTTTTTCAGATATTTTCAGCACTGATTTTAAGACATTCATATTTTCTTTCTTTTTGATCTATATAATAATGGTGCATTTCCCAATCAGTGGCATCTAGATTCAATAAAGTACCATATATCATGTTCCAATTCAAAATCTGCCTTTTCCTTGACAGGAAGCAAGACTATTATCTATAATCATCACTGTCATCTTTTGGTTCACTCCTAGAACAAAGAGGAGGAGGAACAGAGGAAGAAGTTGGAGCAACATTTCTCCCTAAATAACCACGCAGGGATTGAAAGGAAGAAAAGGACAACCTATGTAGAGAAGTCTTCTAAAATCAAAGTAACAGAGTTGGGTGAAGGAAAAACAAAAAGAAACCAAAAAAACAAAAAAAAAAAAAAAACTGTTTTTTTTCTTCAGGCATGAACTCAAAATGGTGCTTAGTAGAGTAGAAATCACTAGAATGAGCCCCATTTTACGTCTTTTACTTGTCTTCTCAAACCTCCCAGAAACAGCTCTGCTTTAGGTTTAACTACT